AAATTGATGAAAACATTTTTAGTTCTTAATCACTGAATTTCAAAAGACTATCAAACAATCGTCGGTGGGTACTAGGTGATTTCTAATTCGAGAGGGAAAGAGACGTTGAGCTGATGATTTTTATGGCAGCGACAAAACCGTGTCAACGACCGAATGATTACGGTCAGTCCAATCCGTCACGGTATAACAGGTCTCTCTGTTTCTGCTTTTATTCTTCGCACTTCCTTCGTTGCGTGCACGAGGAATAGCGAACGTAACTCATTAAAATATCATTTATATTGTGTGGTTTCTACAATCCTTCGCATTATCGAACAATTGGGTGGCATCGGAAAATACTTCGAAAACCTATGATATAAAATACTTAAATTATTTCCCCTATTCTTGAATTTCCATCGTGCCAAATAATATTATCTCGTACAAGATTGAGTTTAATTACAAATACTCTTTTATATTCCAAAAAAACTGTGTAACATTCCATTGAAAAAGTTACTTCCCATTTTCCCATGCATCAGTGATCTCGTTACAACATATTACCAGCAAATCTATATTTAACCCCTTGACTTATAATATCGTGACAGACTCGCGACGAAAGTTTTAAACTGAATTTGACAAATCCAATCGTTCTTTATTTTTTCTCAAATATAAATTAAATATTACTTTTCTATTATCAATTGTTAATCTTTGAAACAAATGTAGACATAGAATAAGTACAAAAATGTTCCCTTTCCTTAATGAATTATTATAAAATTAGTACAAAATTATTATAAAACAGTTACATCGACAATGGCTAAGAAACAAATCATAGAGCATGGGTTTAACGAAGTAACACGATCACGTGACACACATCTGTTCTAAAAATACCAAATATTTTAACCAAACGTAAGACTCGCAACAGCGGACGCTGCGTGACCCTAACGGATGGGTCTGCTTTAAAAAGACAGGGGAAGGTGGGAAGGCGGGGGGTGGTGGTGGTGGTGGCTGTTCAATAACGGAAGCCGTGATCGTTTTTAATTGTTACTTCAGCCGTAAGCGACATGCCGCGGGAAAAATTGGCGAAATTAAAACGAGGCAGCTGGTCTACGCGGGCCCACACACTTTACGTTTTCATTAAGCGCCGCGCGTACACGCGGGTGAAAAGTAATTTGTCCGTGGCACGTGAAAGGAGTGAAATTACAAGAACGTTCTATAAGGCGGCGGCAGACAACACAAACACACGGCTGGATACGTTTTGTTATGTCGCGTTCGTTCTAATTGCCCGGCCGTGCAAATCGTGCTGAAAATAACCGCGTCACCTAACGAGCGGGAAACTATGCAAAGACATTTAATTAGCTTGAACGTTCGTTACACTTCTCAGAAGTTTCATTAAGAAATTTTCTTTGTGCCGCGCGGATTGGGCTGGTTCTTTACCCGCGTGTCCGCGAGGAAACGACAGTTCGTTCGATATTCCGTGAAACGAGCCTCGACAACATTTTTAATATCATCACGACCCGGGAACGTTTATTTGTCCGACGGGACGGGTTGATGCGTTTTCCGCAACGGCTGCTCGTTTCATTTACATCGACAGCGAACGGGATCCCTTTGCTCATTAATTAACTAATTGAGACTCGAGGTAAGAGCTTTCAAATTTTCGCTGCACATCCACGGTCGAATATTAATACGAATTTATCAATTGACTGGTTTACTTTTCGGTCTCGGTATTTTGGTAGGTTTGATATTATTATTGTAGAATTTATTATCTAATGTTGATATTTTTTTTCTATTGTCCTTGTTATATTTTCTATGATGTTTCTGTAAGTTGTTAATTAGAGGAATTCTAAGTTTGCGTGACACTGCTGAAGTATTAATTTAATTATTTTACCGGAACGAGCGTGATTCAGTGAATAATTCAGTTTTTTAAATTCATGCTTCCGTTCCTTGAGAAACGTGAAAGTTGAATACCGAAATAATTGAGCGAGAATTGAGCAAGTCATCCAAACTGTTCCTATAGAAAGGGAAATCCTATTCGTGAGGGGGTTAATTGATTCACTTTCGCATGCTTTATCCGTCACGTTACGTTCAATGAAAAACTAATTAGAGAAGGATCTAATTATCATAAAAAATGAAGTTCTTACGTCGGGGCGTTAGAACCTATTTAGCTTCTCGTTCATTACTTATTATGCACCCGCTGCACGTAAACAGACTATAAACGAGGTTTGCGCACGCATGAGAACTTCACGGACATTGGCCACGTGATTATACAAATGCAAGAAATTGTATTAAATCGCGATATAAGTTCCTAAGGTTTCTATTTTATAAAATAAAATTTCTTTACAGGGATAATTCTCAATGAAATTAAGTATTCATCAAAAATTAAAATGAACCCTGGAAAATGTTTATGATTATTTACAAATATTGAATAATATTTCTATGAACACAGTGTCACAAAAACATTTTGTTTTGTAAATGAAGACACTATGGACTGATTATAGAATTGAGTGATTTGTGGCAAAGGAAAATTCTCAATGAAATTAAGTGTTCGCTAAAAATTAAAATAAACCTTGAATAATAGTTATGGATATTTATAAATATTGAATTATACTTTTGTGAACACAATGTCACAGAAATATTTAGTTTTCTATAGGAAAACGCTATGAAATAATCACAGAATCGAGTGATTTCTTACAAAGAGTAATTCTCAATGAAATCAAGTATCCATCAAAAATTAAAATGAACCCTGGATAATGTTTATGAATATTTACAAATATTGAATAATATTTCTATAAACACAGTGTCATAAACACATTTTGTTTCCCATATGAAAACGCTGTGAACTGATCATACGATCGAATATTTTCACAAGTGAATTTAGAAGATAACCGAACACAGTCTTCCATCGAAATTATCGTTTATCCGACAATAGGCAAGCTTATGGAAACCTCTGCTTTTCATAATTGTCGCTTATGCGCGCTTAACAACTGGCGGCGGTGAGTATTCCAGGACCTGCCAGATTGTTGCTTCGTGTCTGTGGTGTTTCTACAACGCAACGCGTCAAGCACTCGCCGAGGACTCGCGCGGCTCGGAACGGCAACAGTAATGGCGGTTCAATAATGCAACGGGCTACATGGTGGAATTCTGGTTTTACTGGATTGCTATATCTATTCCGTGTCTATGCACACGGGCCTCTTCCTTTACCGTTTCATTTCTCTTTAGCTTTACGCGGATGTCCATGCATGCTGTGACCTGTATGCGGGTGACCCACTTAGGTATCACGTTCCATTTGTTCTTATCAGATATCTTTCAGAAGAAGCAGAACCTAAATGTTTCATGCGTTGTACAGTTATTTTTCTATTTATTTTTGGAAAAGGAAGACTCCTAAATTTAATAAAAGAAATGCATAATGTTCGTAATTAATTAACCTAATAAACTTCACTTCAGTATCGTTTATAAGGCAAGACTTTTGAAACGATTGAGGTATTCTTTTTTATTGAACATTGTTCATTAATTAGTATGCGTATAGACACAACTTCCGAAAATTAATTTATGGATTATTGTGTCTTTAGAAGTATAAGTATAAGGATGATATTATTTAATAACACTGTCAGTGAAAGGTATTTAAATTTTATTAGAGACGGTATCGTCGGTCTGACCTCCTTTCCTTTCTTTTGATTGTAATGTAATGCATTATCGCGAGCAGTTGAATGAGTGTTCCACCTTGTTAGTAGGTACGTATCACTTAATGGTGTCGCTAGTGATATAAAGGTGTACTAATTAGCAGTTTTCTGGGTTGCGTCCTAATTTTAGTGTATGATATATTTACAAGCGTTTTTTTCACATCTCAGAATGTGACGATGTTGACGATGTATATCCAGTGTACTGTTACATAGTTTTATCTTTCAATCTTAGGTGAGAGTAAACAACAATCACGTTTCATAAGTCTTTTATATATAATAATATTATGTAACTATTTATTACTAATAATAAATAGCTTTTATCTGCATACTAAACAGAAATTTGTTAATAAGAATGGAGAAATTATTGTAACAACTTCATATTTCACAGAAAATATTTAGTCGCACATTAGAATTAGAATTATAATAACAATTTCATATTTCCTGGAAGATTCTTAGTCATAGATTTACCTACTCCGAAGGAAAGGGAGTTTCAACAGAAATACTTTAGGTTCCTGCCGACAACGTAATTTCGTAATTCACGTTTAACATTGCGAAAGTGAATCCATCAGGGGCATAATGCTGTTCAATCTAAAACAGATTTTGCGCCGGTATACAGGGCACATCAAGAACTTATGACACGTGTGTACGATTTATTTGCATAGTGGATCTGAACGCCGAGTAATATCCTGCACGCGGCTGTCTTTCCTCTGTGTCGGTGCAATTTGTCCTGGATGATGGCGATGCACTATGCAATATCACCAAGGACAACTCGCGACTCCCCTTTTTCCCTCCTTTTTTTCTTTCCTCATCCGATATGCGTTACCGCAGGTTGTGTCGATCAACGATATAAAGCGGATATGGAGGAATTTTTTACTTCAACTCGACACGTGTTGCATGAAATATTCCACGGCGATAAAAACCGTGTCATTTAACAGCTTATGGCGTCAGGTTGGATTCTTTAATATGATAAAGGACAACTTTGATCGTTCAACGTGCTGTTACACTCTAACTGAATCTTCGTACATCAGAATATGAAAGTTTTAATAAAATTCTATATGATATTGAAAGTTTTATCACGATTCACGTTTGTTTAAAAGTAAAATACTATTTTTAAATAAAATATTCTAAGTTTAGTTTCACGTCAAATTTATATTTTGTATAACTTTAATATTGATTACTGCGTTTTATAATTTTAACAATTAATCGGCTAGTTTTTTAAAGAATTCAGTTAATTGTAAGTTTCAATTATATTGTATTTATATTTGGAGTAAACCTAAGACATGTCTTGTATTTATGCAATGGTTCTCATAAGATACGGAATGAAAATGATAGATGAGAAATGGCACTCACCTGTTCTGCAGATTCGGTAATAAAAGAATGACAATACTGTATGCTGAAGTGCGCTCTAGGTTCTCGGGCGAGAAAACTGAATTGAGCGTGCTGAGGTTCACAGGTTGCGTACGAGATGCGCCTCAACGCGTGCGCCATTTGCACGCACTGGAAAATAAAAATATATATTTCAGTGCATACATGTCGGATTTTAACAAAATATAATATCAATAAAAGATGCGATTGAAATTGCTATCATGAATATATGACCAATGAAAAATACAAAATTCATATACGATGACACTTTTATCTTATGCAACATTTAACAAATTTTTAATAAACAATATCTCCTGTCGGATACTAAATCAAGTTAACATCAATTTTACTTTTCATCTTAATTCATCTTAATTTATTTGACGCAGATACGTATTAATTTTGTTTATTAATAATTTTGTAGAATGGTACATTTCAAAACAATGTAGTATGTGTAATGTAACAAGACTATCGAAGTGTATAACACGCCATTGACAATTTTATAATAAAAACATCTTAACGCGTGTGTTAGGTAAGTACGTCTTTTCAGCGCCATAGGTTAATAACCTTAAGAATTACATTTTAGCAATTTATGTCGATACTAATCGATACTATCTCAATGAAACAAAACAAAATATTGCAACAGTACAATTATACAATCAATAATCGTAAATCTTGCAAGACATACAATTCCAAGCTTTATAGCGACATCAATTTCCACTGTCTCAATTATCCAATTGCGGAGGGTTTATTATTAAGTGTTAAACCAATCAGCGAAATTAAATGGCGATGTTACATCGGCTTTAAGAATGATCAACAGCCGCTAATTTTATGTAACGGTTGTTGAGTCTGCGAGGACGTACTGGTCCAACAATTTTCCATCGTGTTTTCCATGTCGACTCCTCTCTATTTACAAAACGAATGATAATTGCGAGCTTTTCCTCCCCTTTGAATACTAAATAAAAACGTCTACCGAATAATGATCCGCCACTCGGAAGGCAAGGAAGGTCAGAAGATCAAAGCAGCTTGTTACGTTTTAGTCTGGAGGTACCAGGAACATTTCTCAAGCATAAAGTAGCGACGTCTCTCGCGACACCGTTCCCGCGCGCTATCTTGTGTTATATATTGCGGGGCTCGTTGAATTTCTCTTTACGATTTTATGCGTTCTTACTAGTTTTCACCGTTCGCTTGCTTCCCTGTAAATCCGACCCCTCTTCGTGCCAGTTCAAAATCTTTGGTGTCCTTTTGAGCCACACACACACACATCGCAACGCTCCTCAAACGTTACTTTATCCGCTGGTTTGCGGGAAACGATAATAAAAATGGTACAAAATTACTTGTACCTCGGGTCCAGGAACGAAATACTCTGCACCGCTTTATACGAATTGGTGAAGCGTGGTTTCAACAATTTGTTGATTAATGTATAAGATAATTTGTAGTTGCAAATAATCCACAGTACAAATTGACATTACACTTTGGAATTTTTAATATTCTTTTAGATGTGAATTTGAAGTCTATTCTTTTAGTAATAATTAAAACTTCGTAATACATAATACGAAATTAAACAGTAATAATATGAAATAAATGTTATGAAGGATACACACATAGAAGAAAAGGTAATTGTCGGGTTTTGTGGTTAAGTATTGTTTTTTAAAATAAGACCGATCATTTTTTATTATATTTTGTTTTTTAATTTCGACGAAAATATTTATAACATACTTTCCCACGCAGTTTAGTTTGTCTGCATCGAAGTGCATGATTAAACGAGATTGAACGAGTAAATTCTATTATGAAACATAAATAGCTACAAGGGGTGTGTTCCAAAAGCATTCGAGAAAATGGCATCCTCATTAAGCTGGATAACTCATAAATATCACTTAGATATATCAAAGTGTCAGAAGTATCATTACTTGTTATTCATGTGTCGGCGATGAGTGTGGGATGAGATTCATGTACAGGGAATTAAATCGAGGTTCTCGGGGAAATATCGTCTTTTATTATTTAAATTTTAAACAATTTTAATACCCATTTTCATAAAATATTTGTAATACTGCTCGAAGATTGGAAAACAAGCAGAGAATCTTTTTTGATGTAAGAAAATAGACAGTTTTTAAACAATACTTTTCATTATTAAAAAATTTGTATCGCTTCCAGGTTGAATGCCCTTGTATTCCAGCTACAAGTGCCTATAATACCGACGCACATGTGTCCAAGCATTATGCCTTAAAGCATTTAGTTTGAATGATCGTCGGTAGAGTTCGCTATTAAACATATGATACTTGTATCCTTGAACTTTGTTCAAGATTACATTTTTTAAATTTCCATGTCTCTTTGAAATATGTAGATGAATTTTATGTTATTGTTTTTTTATATATTTCTTATAAATTACATTATTGAATTAGTTTCTAGATTAATAACGATATACAACACTACGATGAAAAAATTGAAACTTTAAATATTACCAATATTTTTTTATATAATTTCTGTACAGATAGACTGATAATTATTTTATTTCCTATTGCCAATTTACTATTATTTCAAAATAAAGTCACCTTTAAATCTGATTAATTTCACGCTTTTCATATTCGTTTGTGTATAAATTAATTAATCTTTTATTCGCACTATAAATTATGTAATAACACGATATTTCGAGTGATCGTGTTAGAGGTTCACTGTTAAACCAATTAAATTAGAGGTCACGTTCGAAACAATTTTAGTCAGTTAATTAATAAATATTTTTTTCTTGTAATCCTTGGAGAACCGTATGGCCTTGAAAGCTCTGTTTGAAAAGGTAGCTCGATAATTAGAGAATTAATGCGGTGGTCGGAGCGAGCCATTGTTATAATGCTGCCGCGATTAGCGCGGGAGCACGTTAAGACGAACGGGAACGAATAAATCGCAATTATTGGCCACTTCGGCCCTTTTCGAATCGGCCCCGAGATGAAGTTTCGTTCATCGAATTCGTTCAGCAACATGGAACTTTTAATGGCTCATAGTAATCCGCCGTTCGCAGAAAAATCCGGGGGAAAGTTTCTCGCTCCTGCTGCGCGAAGTCTGCCTCCGAAGTTTCAAGCGATTTCGAGATATTGTTCAGCTTCGTCGCGGATTATTGAACAGTCAACCGTAGACTCGTAATTACGGGACTCACTGAAATCTGTCACTTTATAATATCGTTAACACACGTGCTCACGTTTACAATTTTATTTTCTATTCTTGCTCATAGTTCCCTCATCTACTATAAACTTAGGAGACACAATAAGGAGAAATTAAGTAAAAATTATATATTCCAAATTAAATAAGTGTTTCTTTATTGATATTATAAACATATTAAAAATACACCATAAAGAACGAAAATTTACCGTTCCAAAATGGTCTTAAAATTTCCCTTGATTAAATAATTATATTTTTTATGGAACGAATTATTTTGCAGGTTCAAGCAGTTTAGCAGATACATCCAACTTCTCAAATCTCCCCCGTTGCTGTTAAATGATTCATTAACATTATTTACATATACTTTCCAGTATTCAAATAAAATTGCTCATTACAACATATAGATCCAATTTAACCCACAAAATAACTATCAACAACCATCTTATGCGATTCGTAATCCGATGAGCATGGATCACTAGAGATAATTCCTCTAACAGTAACTACCACGACCAACATACAAGGACCAATATTCAAGACAAACCCATCAAATAATATAGACTACCAAATAAGAAATCTCCGGCACGACAATCCGAATTACCAACCATATTCTCCGAAATTCTACGGCACAGCTCGTCGGTTACACGCCCCGAGGAATTTAATAAATCGAAACTTAAACGCGTATTGAATCCATCGTACAATGACACCCGACAGCGCCGTAGACGACGGTCCTCTGCCGCATTCTTCCGCTCCCCGCCCCTGTCCCCGTGGCAGAGTTATGATTACGCCAGTGGCGGCCGTGCCACAAAGAAGATGTATTCTCACCTGAACCTCACGGAAAACGTGAGGTCACGTATGCTTTGCAGAGCCCGCCACCGAGCAGACATGTGCGCCCTGCACCGTGCATAATGTTTATAAGCCGGCGGATCCGCAGCCATAGCGGGGGATCCGTGCGGTGACATAAAATATTTTTATATCGAGGCGTATCCGCCCGCCACCCCAGCATCAGGAAAATATTTGTATTTCCGCGGCTATCGTCGGCGCACCGTAAATAACTCGTTTCGGCCGCGGTTATTTCGAACGGTGCACAGCGACCGATTTGGCCATTATAGGCGGGCAAAAGTCGATTTCAAAAATTTCGCCTGTGATATCAAATTTTTGCTCCCTGATATAGTTGAGTGTGTGAAAAATAAGGTATCGATTGTTTGTTTTTTCATCTGTGCACATAAACTCGTGTGCCTCGTTGAATGTTTGGAGTCTTCGTTGCGCACGATTTGGTCTTCAAATTCTTTGAAACATTCTTGTGTATACTTTTTTATATGTTGGGCGCGGCCGCATATGCTCGTATAATTAATAATTATTAACCTACGTCATATTCTATAATTGATTGTAATCATATATTATTACCTATTGCGTTATTATTATTTATTATAGGCTATGTAATGTAACTCAATCTATACAAATACGCAGTTTCTTATATAAGTATATATAAGTAACAATATTTAACATTTATTCACTTGTTATATACTTTATCACTGGTTATTATTATGTATTGTTACATATATAATCATATTTTATCGAAAAAATTCGATACGTACGCTGTCAAAAGTTTGGGACCACTTGACCTGTAACGTCACAAAGTAACAGTTATATATCTGTAAATATATCAAATAAAATAACAACAATTATATATCTTTACATTTGACTAATACATGTCCGTGTTCCCTTATCAGACACAAAAATTCTCAAATAAAAATTGTTTACAAAAAATGGAAGTTTCTCTTTTAACCGATGTATCGGTCCCAAACTTCTGACTGGCAATGTATGTAGGTGTTTTTAATTTTGACCGACTAAAACGGCCAAACTGGCCACTATGTGATATTCGCATTTTGATCAATTCTTCGTGTGCTAAACTCCCTTCATCATCCCCCGCGTGCATTGTGTCTACATCTTTTGTCTCGTCGACTGTG